TCTAGACCACCCAGACAGTCACCAGCCAGTGCCATTCTCTACCCCTTCCGAACATGTTTTCCAGTCTGCACCAGGCTCTCTTAAAGCGTCTCTTCGTCCAAGATGTTCGAAACTCTAACGGTTTTTGCTTCGCGCACCGCTCCCGTCCCCCTCCGTAAGGAAAAAAAAAGAATACTAATAAAATAAATAAATAAAATAAATAAATAACAATAACATTAAAATAAAAAACTAAACGTTAAATTAAACTTACACATATAAATAAATAACATAAATTAAATAAATAAATACAGAATAAATAAATGAAATAAAATAGAATTAAATAAAATAAAAAAATCAAATAAATAAATAAATAAATAAATATAATAATACAATAAATAAATAAACTTACAATACAAAATTAACAGTAAAGTAAATCAAATAAAATAAATAATAAATAAATAAATAAATAAACAAGAATATTAAATAAAGTAAATACATATACAATAAGATATATAAGATGAAACTAAATTAACCTATACATTAATAATATACAAACAAAATAAATAAAAAAACCAATAAAAAAAGGGGGCGAGCCGGCGGTGCGGCGCCTCACCTCGCAGAGGCGCGCGCCGCGGCCGGGCGTGCGCCGGCCAGCAGTCTGTGGGCGGTATGCGGCGGGCACTGTGGTGCTGCGCCCGCTCAGGCTGTTCAGCACGAGTCTTCACCAGCGCCTCGCAGCTTGCCCGTCACTCCCCCTGCAGACACGGCTCGTTCTATGCTACTGGTACTAGCAACACCACGTCAATACCACACCAACAGCTGCATTCAATAATAATAATTAATAATCAATAAATAATAATAATAATAATAATAATAATGATAATTTAATAATGATGATAATAAATGAATAATGAAACAAACAACAATTAATTTTACAATACCGAATTATTTGTATAATTAGTATTAATAGTCACCTGAATATAACATTTAACGTCGACACAAGAAACAGAGAACGTCTTAAATACAAGAGTTTGGAAGTCGAGATCCGAATGTGGGGCCGTAAGAAAGCACAGGTTCGTACCGACATTATCGAAGCTCGTTGGATAATATTTGTTTGAAAAAAAACTTGGTTAAAACTCCCTATACCCTTCAAAAAATTAGGGAAGTGAAAGAAATTACTTTATTTGGAACAAGCCAACATTTTGCAAAGTATTATTAGAAGTACCGACAGCCGCCTAGATCTGCCTTCGTGCTTAGTAGCTGGATGCAAACCTGGGAAAGGTTTTATATTCAGCTTGACTCATAACAGTTCGTAGTAATGTAGAGAATAATAATAATAATAACAACAAACAATAATAATAATAATTAATAATAATATAATAATAATAATAATAAATAATAATAATAATAGATGAGAGTAATAATAATAAAATCTCGCTCACATCCCCGTATTGTCACTTAAACTACTTATCATGAGAGAGAAGCCTATAAAAGTAACAGTAATTATTCGTGTCCAATATTTGATATTAGAATAATAGTAAATTAATTTAAGAAAAATGATCAATTATTGAATAATATTTTTAAGCGGTAATAGTTCTTTGAAATAAATAATGCTTACCTGGCCCTGAGTTCGCCAGTTAATAAGCTATATTGTTTCTTGGTGTGTGGCGCACACACGGCCGCCACTCAGCGCGCGCTCACAGGTAATGCGGTCTCTGGAGATCCTTCTGCCTTGAGCCACTTTGTTATTTGCACTCAAACTGTATGTATGTATGTATGTACTTCGCGCGACAGTCCGTGAAAGGGCTCAGGGGTACCGGCAACGTCCCTACCTGTCGGCAATGGGTTAAAGAGGTACGTGTGATTAGCACGTAGACATCCCCACGTCGTCTTCCGGTCTTCTCAACACGAGAAGTGAATTTTCTCATCGTCACATAGCAACATATACTGGGGCATGGCAAGGAAAACGGACAACATAGACTTGGGTAGACCGGGAATCAAACCAGAGGCCGCGTGGTGGAAAGACAGCCTGCTGACAGCTAGTCACGAGCCCATTTGCACTTAACTCAGATGTACGACATTGGCATGTTTTGGGGCTCTAAGGGAAACTTCAAAGTGTTTTATCACGGTGACAGTTGCATGATTTTCCTTGAGGCCCTTGTACTCGGGGGACACGTTTATTAACATGTTTTTATTTTGTTGCAGAAAATATGCAATTTTTGATCCCAAAGGGAAACTTCAAATTCGGTTTATGATGGAACAATTGTATAATTTTCCTTAGATCTTTGCTTTAAAAACATTAAAAACCCCTAACTTTGAACTTCAGTCCACACACCTACTGAGCAATGAATTAGGAAAACGGAATCAGATGAAATAGATAAAATATCATGAATAAAAAATATAAAGAAACACATTTTTCTATAAAAGAAACGTTTTGCAAAAGGACCTCAGATACTTTCAAATAACGTCTTTTGTACATCCTGTTATTTCTTTGGCATGATGTTTCTTAAATTTCTGGGTGAACTTTGTTCATTTGGGTGATATTTTTTATAAGTGAACTTCAGAATGATTTTGTTTTTTCTATCTATCTGGGCTTCAATTTCATTTTTCTCAGGAGTCCTTCTTCTTTCTTGGTCATTGCCCAACATTCTTCACTCTATGTTATCCAGCTTTTCGACTTATTTCTCAACAGGTGGTAATATACACTGATGTTTATGAAAATTGCAACCTCAAGAAAGAGACATATTACTATGAAATTTATTCCAGATGAGATGTGTCACAATATACGAATGATTTGAATTACAGAACGATACTTGTATTTTGACATTGAGTATTTAGTACACTGTGAACCCGCCACAAGCTGCCATAGGAGCCTCTAGACGTCGTGACATGGATTCCATGAGAGCCTGGATATGCTACTGGGGAACTCATCTCCACGCTGTTTCAATGCATGGCCACAAAGTATCAACAGTGGCTGCAGGAGGACCATAACGAATAAGTTGCCGAACGATCATGGTAACACAAGTTCGAAGGACGAAATGTCAGGCGCTTTTTCAGGCCAGGGAAACAGTACACGTCGTTTTTTGCAGAAAACTTGCACATTCCTTGCCACATGCGGTCGGGCATTGTTATGCTGAAATATGGCATGTGGAGCTGCTTGCAGGAGGAGGAGTACCTTGTGCTCTAAAACCTCCCTGGGGTAGAGATTACTGTTCAGATTACCCTCAATACGTATGAGGCGAGATCGCTCATTGTAGACAACGGCGCTCCAAGCTAGCGCACTTGGTTTTTGTCCGCTATCACGCGGAACAATGAAGGCTGGCAGATTGCAATCACTACGGAAGCGTCGAACACGTAGGAGGCCAATACTTTTATACAAACTGAAGCAAGACTCGTCCAAAAACACTACATTTTGCCACTCAGCACACCGATGAACACATTTACGAGTCCATTGCTCTCTGAAGCGTTGGTAATTCCTGGTCAACAGAATCCGACACAGTGGTATGCATGCCATCAGTCTAGCCTTCAGCAGACTGCGTCGAACCGTTGATGCAGACCTGACCACACCCACTGCAGTGAACCAAAGTCGAGCCAACACTGTGGACGACGCGGTTCGGTTACAGTCATGCAGATAAGATGGCGATCTTCTCGCGCTTTGATCACATTGTGTGGTCCATTACCTGCTCGTCGTAGTGTACGACTCTCTTCTATTCACTGGTTCCTCTCACGCATTACTGTCGTAGCAGTTCGAGTCGCAAGGTGCGACAAAACCGAATTTTGAAGACCGATCATTCTGACCCATTTGAACTCAAACAGATACTTATATTGCTCCCTTTGGCATCGACAACACATACCGGCACTTGCTTGCACGTTTCCACATTTGACGGCTCTACACCGACTGACACTGACCTGAACTGTAACACAAACGTGCACGCCATCTCTATGCAAATTTAATCATTTCTTATGGATACCCTGTTCTAGGCATCCACATATTTGTAAATGGTTCCGACCATTCCTTCTGGGTATTACAATTTTCACAAACACCAGTGTAGCTGCAATTGAATTTGTGTTATCTAATGATGAGGGGGATAAATAAACAATACTAATAGCGAGATAGGTAGGATAGAAATAAATAAATAGGTATTATCAAGGCTTTGGGACTGTGACACATTTGAATGCTCAACGTCAGTGATGAATCTTGGATATCCTTTTCATTAAACAGTCCTATCCGTTTACTACTACTCAAACATTCATCATAACTAGAACTCTAAAATCACAATATTCTAAAATTCAATATTCTTAAATTATGAACCTTACTATTTTTCATTATTCTCAGTTTTTGAAGTTAGCAGGTAGCCTGAAGTTCAAGATACTAAGTTGGTCCAAGGTACAACAGCTTCCTTCTTGGAGTAAACGTATGCCAATGCTAGAAATATCACATCTTTGTATTGCGGTTCAGCCGTAATCGTCTTTTTGTCGTAATCAGCATGTGCATCATTTCTGATAAAGATATGCTAATCTCCTCGTTCATCCTTCACGTAGAGACATTTCAATGCTTTGAACGTTTCCGAGAATTAATTTGTGAGAAATATCATACGTATGTGCGCCTAACTTAAACGAGCAGTGCATCAAAACTAAGTGTGTCTTATAATAGTCTCTCAATGAGCCCATCATAAGTGAGTCTTTCAATCGCCTTTCAATAAATGAACTGTTTTCTTCTTACTTCTGAGGAAAACGTGATTGGACACTTGAAATTGGCATGTATTGTTAAATAAGATACGATGTTCAGATAAAGAGCGTTTGGTCATAAAAGCGAGTTTGAAGGAAAGTGAAGATAAAATTTCGATGATCATTGTAAAGCAGAGAATATTTCAAAAGCACCCAATTCATTTGATCTTCATAGAAGATTTGTAAAGTATATTGTAGTATTTGTCGCATTTGTAACTCGCTAAGCCACGCAATTCCACCGTCACAAAATAATTTCCTTGCCCCCGTCATCCGAACGCCGTCGTGTTGACGTTGATTGCCGGTGAACGGTGCTTTCGGGAGACGTACCTCATCCGTTGCGGAGGGATGTAGATGCCGCGGTCGCTCTGGTTGTACCCCAGCAGCAGGTACAGATGGCGCAGGACGATTGACTGGGTCTTCGCCAGCGCTTTCTCGTCGCTAGGAAACGCCTGCGGGCAGAGAGAGGTAGGCCACCCAAAAGCCACTTGAGACCTTGCAAAGCTAAAGGAGCCAGTGTTGGGTTTCAAAGTGCTTTTCGAGAATCAACGAAAACTGTTTGGATTCGTATTCTTAACACACAACCAGATCCATCACTAGGTACATTTACAATACTTGGAAGGTGTCGCGTTTGGAACCGATTTATGTAATGTTTCGAAGTCAAAATCTCCGTTTCGAATATTTTGGTACATCGCTCCTTTACCCTTTCAAGGCCTCAGTTAATGTACATGGTTCAGTTTCAGGGCGGACATTTCATCTTTCGCCGAACAATACGAAGGAGACGCCTCATTGCCATGGGCCTCGGAGCCATGGGCCTCGGAGACGTGACCCATACCGGCGGAAACTGCGCATCCTGGCGGCCGGATGCTGTACTTCGCGGTCGACGTGTCTTTCGAGAACTAATTAGGCCTCACGAGGAATCTGCATTCACGGCTTACAACACAGAGGTAAGGTCTGTTCTTAGAATGCCTTGGAATCATCCTGATGTAAACAAGTGCAAATGATTAATATTCCCTCCCTTTAATTGCTTAAGTATGCGGAAGTATACACGTGTAACGTTTCGTTTCTGGAAATATTCTTTGTATAAATTATACATTGCCTTGTTTAAATGTAAATTTGGATGGATTATGAGTTACTGCAGCCAGTACTGATATTTGATTATTTTCTGCAGTAGCAGAAACTCTACGTGCTCTTTTCTTCGGTTGTACACTTCCGTCAGTAGAGAATTGTTGAACAATTCTAACAAAAGAAGAACGCGATCGTGCTCTGTCAGGAAAACGTTGAGCATACAATTTAACAGCAGCGTCGAAATTTCTCCCAGCTTCGCCGTAAATGAAAATCATTTCAATTCTTTTTGCAGATTTACATAATCCATGATGCAACAACAAGGAATGTTAGTTCAGAAAGGTAAATGTTCATTAAATATCGGATCGCCTCTTAAGTACTCTAAGCACGGACCCTGGAGAGACGCTACCAACAAATTGACGGGTGTGCCCTGAGACACCACTCAAAACCACTCAAATTACAGTCGGAAATCTTCGGAAATTAAATTTTTGCGATTACGGATCCACCTACCACAAATCAGAAAAAAAATTTCAGACATGATCTTATGTATTTTTGTCCGTAGAATCCGAATCTGAAATAAAAGATGGGGTTCCTATTTACGATTTCAATGTTGCCCAGCGCCCCCCCCCCCGCTGGAGGCAGGGGGTGCTGATTTTAGTATAGAATGATTCCCCCTTCAAAACTGTTAAGATTTAGTCTCGGCTCAATTTTTCGTACATCGCGTATTTTTTTAGTTATTTCAAGTTGTCAAGTTAAATGGGACACCTCTATTTTAAGTGTTTTCTCGCTTGGCTATAAAAATCCACTGATTACCGAAGGCTACTTTACGTAGTGTTGCACCACTTTCGAAAGAATCTACAATGCAGTAGGAATGACGATTGTGGAACGGAATGCGGGTATCGCTGCTGGAAATCGGAGCCTTATCGCAGGTGAGGCTGCGGTCGCTGGCGTTTCTCACAGTTCGTGAACACGTGTACCATTGAAGTAGTCTGGAACAATCGGCCGATGAGGCGAAAAGTCGTGGATGAATACTACGTTCCTTTGTTTACATCAAGAACATTCTAAGGCTGAACAAAGATAACACTGAATGCCGTTTTAAAAACATCGGCTTCCTTGCTTCTCGACAGGCTATCTCGGAACACAAAACATTGCATTCACATTTCATCTAGGAAATCACACAAGAAAGCGATTATAACAAATTACTAATGCAGTCGAAGCAAATTTATGGATAATTACAGTCTTAAATCTACTAAAATTTTCAAAATGTCACTGGAGCTTCAGCCCAAAATTAAAATATCTTAACCGTCCTCAGAACGGTCCAACCAGATCCAACTAAATCGTACTCTTAACGCATTTAGTAATTTTCATCTCAAACGCTTCTGTATGATAGAGTTCAGCGTGATACATTTATTTATCCATCCTTTCAGACTCCCGATTTTCAGGTACAAAATTCCGTGTCTCTTCGCCACTAGCACCAATCTTAACCATTTCTAAATTACATTTATCCTGGCATGTGTGCAAAGTTACAGCTCAAAAGAACCTGGGGTATTTTTAGAGCCGCAAATTTGAGATCAAATTGCTGAAGTGGTTTTATTACTTTTCCTCTCTATGCTAAAGCATATAGAGGAAAAATGAAATAATGCAATAATGCACGAAACATCTAGATTTGGCGGATTGCATGAAGGCGGATGTGGTTACGTCTGGCGAGGTGGGGTGGGACTGAGAGCGGCAGAGCATATGACTCGTATTTTAACACTGATTTAAAAAACATTTTGTCGTCCTGTCTGCTAGCATCATAAACCAAAAGTAATGTATTTCGAGAAGTCGAAAATTAATTATTTTATTTCCAAGTGTCGTCAACCACAAATGTTCTAACTACTTACCTGATCAGGCCGAGAGAGAAACTGCATGAACAAGAACACAAGAAGGTGCATCGTCTCTTGATCTGCTTCTTCTAAATCAATAATTCTGTGGATGAAACCGACGAGATTTCTATCATCAGCAGCATTCAACGAATGTATGTGGCCATCTGAAAAATATATTTATTACAAATTCACTATTAATGGAAATTCATGAGCAATATCTGGAATCTAACATGCAAAAACTAATGCGCCACAAAATACAATCAAGTCATACTAAGGTTAATACAGAACAGCAGTTTGAAGGGAACGAGCAGAAAAATGGAATCATTTGAAAACATATTTGTCTAGAAACAGTGTCCAGAAAAAAACATTATGCAGGGTATATATTTCCATGCTTTTAATTTTCATTTTGGGAGAGTCTAGGAAAGTTGAACCACAGTTTACAACAAAGCTCATTAAATCTACTGCCTAAAGTGTATGTTTTATATTTATATAATTGTTATATTCAAATCTCTAATTAAAATCTCTTTCATGAACACATTTTTGATACAAAAAACAAAAAGAAAACGTATTCATTTTCATCATTTATGTAGTGAATTTCATTTTTTTAAAGTCTAGCGTTTCGAACTCTCTTTTCCATCTGTATGTTTGGTTCAAATTTTCCATATGACCCATCCTGTTTTCTAATCAATGTGAAAATAATGGAAGATAAAAGTTCAACTATAAACAACTACGAACTATATTGTTCAAGTGGTATGAAATATATACACATACCTTCACACATCCAAGTATGATTATAAAATAACGATACATTTTTATATTCACTCTAAATAAGGAAAGAAGTTTTGCCTGGCATGTGTTGCCATTTAATACGCTAGCGCTTTAGTGCATGATGTTGATTTGCTATCCAATTTGATTTGCTTGCTCAATATAAACGAGATATTCGAAATTACCCTAGTCAGAAGTACCGTCACGTTTCCCTTTATTTCTTTAAAAGAAGAACTTGGGGAATATCAATAAAATGTTATTAGTTGCAATATGCATTCCAATTTTGTAGTAACGATAATCGTCGCCTTGATCATTCATTTAGATATAATTAATAATATATGCTATTTGAAAGAAATAACATGCTCAGTAAGATACTTTCTCTATATAAAACGAAATAATAGGCGTAGTTTCACCACAATTGTTTCATTCCAATAATAAAATTGTTTCTAAACGGGACTTCTTTGAGCCGTCACAGAATTTCTCAAAAGATGGTCGCAATGCAGCCGAAAAAGCTGTATGCGGCATTAAACCATTATGAAACTGCGTCTGCTACTTCATTTTCTGATTCCGAGATTATCAACCCGACGCTATTTCTTAGTATTACTTAATCACATTTAAAGAAGCTATCAGCTGGAGTGTTTCAGAGAATCAGCACTATGCTTTAAACTGCCAGGGTCCACAGAGCGAAAACGCCACTTGAATGACATCAAACAGAGGAACGTTAGCTCATATTCGACTGTAGATAAGGTAATTCTGATTCTGAAGGATTAAGATAAGAACATCATTGACATTATAAAGAAGAGACAAAACAAGAAACTGGCTGGAAGAAAGATAATAAAATTTAAGAAGGAAAGGAAGAGAAGTGAAAAGAAGCCAAAGAAGAGAACAAGAAATCGTACCAGTGAGTGCAGAGTGCCGAAGATGTTATTCTCAACATTCTTAAATCATGTTTCAATTAATATTTTATCTTAAATATGCAATGGAAAAAGTAAATAATGAAATATGGTATTAAATATTTACCCACGACGGTTTATAACTAATCACTTTAATAGAAATCTCGTCTTAAAGTTTTTGAAAAAAACAACGTTCCTCTCAGCTGCTAATGTATTTATTACTCATCAATTTACCATGTCTCTCTCCCTTATTTTTAGTTTGGTTTAGGTTGGTTAATTTCGTAAGTTTTGAAAAAATGGACCTGAACAACACTGCCATATCAAAATCTCAAGATTAATACGAAGAGTATCATTGTCAACAAACTATATTCAAATATATTTCAAATATTTAAAATGCATTATTACGAAACAGGCAGAAAAGTTCAAGAGTTTCTTCACTACCAACAATGATCTTCGATGACCAACAATGACATTAATAATCCTCTAATTAAATTTCACCCTCCTCACCACATTACTCATTATAAATGTAAAATCAACACCTGGCAGATGCGTCTATCAGTAATATCCACGTCTGAGATTCAAAGGTCACAATCCTTGAATAGTTAACTATTAAAACGCTATTTCCTCAATTGAAATTTTAGTTCTCAACGTATCGAATATAAACATCATTTGTGTGAGAGATATAGTGCCCTTATCGTGATTCTATGAGAAAAACGGAGAATAAACAGCTCAGTTTTGATGTTGTTGAAGCAAATGTCACAGAAAAATTAAATAATATAAGAATTATTATTAAATTGAATTGTTTAAAAAAAGAATTCATTATAATCATAATGAATACACTTAATGGGTAGTAGACATAAGCACATTTTAATGATAAATAAAAATAATTAATAGAATAGAAAGAATTTCAATGATAGTAGGTATGGCATTGAACAAAGATTTACGTTTCTTGTGAGAGAAACTATTGTCGTTTTTAAATAATAGTATTTATTATACATTGAGTCTAAATGAGCTCTTAAAATTGAGTTGAGAACATCATAATAACAGCATTGAAAAGTTGATAAACGTAAGCTAGGAGTTTCCACGTTATCCTAAATCATATATATCATCAATTTTATAATGATTGAATTATTTTATAAAGATACGGAAACGGAACCTTATCTGATTGTGACCGTTGTGAGCTTAAAATTTTGCACATATCTTTCGAAGCAGTCAATTCATTTCGAATAAATTAAAAAAATATATATGATAAATAACAATTTTCTTGAAAAAACAATAAAATGGAGTAAGCTCCGTTGATAATATTGGCGAAACAATTCTCATAGCTCTAATTTAATTTTTATATCAAAAAGAGTGCTGCGAAAACATCATTTAGTTTCCTGCGAGACTTTAAATCACGAAAAAATAAATATTGCACTCAATTGTAATATAAATACTCAAACATTATCTCCCTACTTGTTCGCTACGCTTTCAAAACAACACATGAACACTAACATGTTCTAAATCCATTTCATTATGAAAATGGACTCTGTTCGCAAAATTACCCTGCAGTTCAGACAACTTACGAAGCTTTCTTGGCATGGATACATGCAGACCTCATCAGAAACAAATAAATAGAAAAACAAATCGCGCAAGGAACCTTAGTTCCCAAATGTTGATTCCATATTATTTAGAGCTCGATTAGGAACTCACTTTGTATTCCGATTTGAGCTTCTTCTTTTTATCGTTAGTTTTCGAGTTACGATAGTTTCTGATAATCTAATTTTAAGACAGAAAAATTCAAATTTACAATCAGAAGTCAATGACGCTACATTTTATTGATTTTATATTCTTGCATAATTAAAAATCTCTAAATCATATTTATCGCTCCATACTAAAGCAGAAATTTGATGATGGTTCATGGTGTTAATGTTATATGCAAGGCATTTTAGAACAGTATTTTATCAATGACAAAAGTATTTCAACAATTTTAATAAGTTTTACCAGAACATTTATGGACATGCAACATACACAATTTTATAAAATCCTAAACATTCAAAACCGTTTTGAGTTAAAGAACAACTCAATCCGTAAGAATTTGATGACATAAATAAATGAAGAATAAACAGGTCCTCGACTTACGTCGTGAACCACAGTAACATATGACGGTACGGATCTCCGTCGCAAGTCGAGAACTTCATCCTTCCCGTTTCTAGTACATCTAGCCAGCCACACCAAAGCAACAACGCTCGTGACATCACAAAACCATTCTTTGCGGCGTACGCTGCACGTGTCCGGTGCCCTTGCCTGAGCCGAGCTTTGCATGTGTCCGGTCCCGAGCCGAGCTTTGCATGCGCAGTCTACTGAGAAGGCGAGCGGGCACTGACCTAGGCCGAAGCGCGACGTCTTCCGCTTCAGAATGGGCGCTGAGTACTGACGACTGTACACCCGCTCCTTCTCTGCTGGACAGAACACACAGCGCGGTCACTCGCTCCGCCCACGAGCCACCGGCGGTTAGGAAATGCTACCACACATTAACAGATGAACAATTGGCGTCTACGCCAGTCTGTGCCAACACATCAAATAATAATAATAATAATGCTTCCTTTCGTTTATTCACACGGAACATCTGAAAGTAATGTGTATGTTATAGCATGTCGTAAAAATCGCGATAAAATTAATTCGTAAAGTAGTTTTACTACAGTGTAAAATGGATCTTCTGGTCGGATAAGTTTAAAAAAATAGACTGCAGAAACTAAAACAAATGTCTGAGTTGCAATTTATTTTAATGAAATTAGTATCCAACTCATAAGTTATTAACACTGATTTATTTTCTGTCTCTACTAATGTTTTTAAGCGCTTCCTACTGCAGTATTATGTACATCGTGGTTTTCGCCGTTGTGTTTGTGGATTTAACACGACATGCAAGGAGTGCAGGTGATGTGTGAACAAAAGGCAAGTGATGAGTGCTCCAAACAGAATTAAAAATAGTGACAGCTAGGAATATACAAGATGTTCATAAAGCTATAAAAGTAGGTTCAAGAACACACCATACCACTGTGTAAATTATTACATAATAATCATACCCAACACGAATCATCAAAAACATTTACTTAAGAATATCGTATTCCCGTACAAACAGATCGGCGCTTTCTGGACAGACCAGCCTTTGTTGATCAGGATAGTATCATTCCTAAATTTTGAAACTTTTTTGAAAGTAACTCATGCACAGAGATCCTTCTACTACAATGTATAATTTACCTTTGAACATGATACTCCTAACTAAAAACAACAATTTAATAAAAGATTAAACATAGACATATTCAAGAGGTGTCGTAGTGTTTCTGTAGTAATTGTGATGAATGATTCTAAGGATAGGGGGGAGAGAAATGTCAAAGGTAGCGTTTCCTATTGGAATCCCAATCTTTCTTTTCGCTTTCTGAAGCATCTCCTTATCTAACAACAACAGATCAAGGTGACACTCTCCACTCGCTTCCACCCGACAGTCTACTCATGAGCGTATTGAAGACGAGACCGTAAGTTATGCCTGATCCTTACATACACGTAGACCGTACACAGGGTACGATCTGACGGCAAACCATTCTAAAAGCATCCCGTTTTATCACTTAGCACAATATGGGATTTCCAACATTTTCTAGTATTTTACATATGTTTCCAATTTTCACTCTTATAGTTTTGATGTTTTATAACTCTAAGTTAAGGGATAGTTAGTTTCTAAACAATAGTATTGTAGTAATAGTTTTCTTGTTCTCACACTTACTAACTGCTAAGTAAATAAAGTTTAAGCTGAAATCATTGAGTAAATTCGAAATAGTGTTGCAACATCGATTTGAAAAATTGCGAATTTCCTGTAAATAAACTGCATATAATCAGCGAATTACCAGTAAACTCTGAAAATAAAATACATTATAATAAAAACAAACTCTTCATTAATTTTCCAATCAATAGTTTACAAGTCATATTATTTTGAATAGATAATTGGCTGTCCGGATGACGCCGCGTCAAAAGGACAGTTTCCAACATTTTGGCTGATTTACCGCATATCATCAGGAGCCGTCGTATTGCAACCCATCATGGCCGAAATGACCTGACGTATTTCTCCCTGAGGAAGGTCGCTGTAAGAAGGTCGAAACGTTGGCACCTGTGCCTAGGACGCGGCGACTGACGGACAGCTAAATAACTATTGAAGCCGGACACGGAAGACTATGCTTTCATTCTTTTAACACTTCTAAAATATAACATACGCCGTGTAATTCACGGCTCGAATTTCGAACGTGAATCCATTAAGCTGGTCCCGCCCGTGAGAGGCCCTGCCTGCGTGTGAGTGACGGAGCGGGCAGGGCGAGGACAAGCGTAACCTTGACAAAATCCTTCGTACGCCTTCCTTCGGAGGGGAAGTAAAGCCGGCTGTCCCATGTTAGTATATTTACTTGTATGTAAAAGATCCTCAAGCCTAAATGACGCCTCTGAGCTAATTCAAATCGCCTGTTTTATCGCCCAAGAAATACCTCCTTTCTCTGCTAGTTGATGAAAGGAGCGTAGCGAAATTTGCGTGGCAGACGGAAGAGCGGCCTGATGGCCCGAGTCTCGCCACGTAAAATAAGGCAAATTCAATTCAATTCAATTCAATTCAATACCCTTTGGTGTCCTGGCGCGAGACGATGGAGGCGGGCGCCGACATGGTGCGCTTGTAGGGCCACTTGGGGCGAAGGAGAGGCTCAGAGTGCGCAGCGTGCTGCCCCGCCCCGCCTCCGGCGCCCTCGCCCCGCCGCCGCCGCCCCCGCCGCTGCCACCCCGCCGCCGCCACCGCCGGTGCCGCCGCCGCCGCCGCCCCCGCTGTCAGCTGCTGCGACAGCGCCTCGTGGGCTCGGTGCAGCTTTCGCAGGAACGTCTCCGCTGTTCAGGTCGTGTTGCGCAGGTCCTGCACACAAACAGTGTTGCCAAATTAGGGTATTCCCCCTAAATTTAGAGTTCTTTGGGTCTTTAGTGGATGCTTTAGGAGCAAATTTATGTGTTTTTTTTTGTTTTAGTTTTTATTTTTTTAAACTATCTATTGTATATCACAAAATCCACAAATAGTACTTTTGATTATTAGAGGTACATTTATTCAAATCTTTAACTATACGTAATGGAAACTACTTTAGACGTGTAAGATTATTTGAAAGAATTTCCTCATTCAAAATGTTGGAAGCGATTATTTGTCACAATCAAAGCGTGTTAGAAGAGAGACACTCATTTGATGAAAAGTAATGAATCATAGCAATAAACAAGTAATGAAAACAACGATTTTGGTTTCCAGGAAAGTTTTTACAGACGTATCATTATCTCTGAGTGATGACTCACAATGAGTAAGACGAAAATACCTCTTAAGTTCCGTAACTCATACACAGTGTGAAACTTCAACCCAATTGAGCTTGAGTGAATCCGCCTTGTTAGTTCAGCCGCCACCTTTTCGGGTTGGTAGCGGAGCCTATTAACAACACTCAATAACTCGGATCAATTTCCGGTGAGTAACAGGCGTTTGCCACGACGAAGCCAAGAGCTCAACTGGGGGCCACGTGGACTCGAGCTCTGGCAGCTTAAAGCCACCAAGTTATCTCCTAGTCTTCACTTTAGCACTAATGACGCGGGTATCGCCGGAAATATCGGCACCCGGGTGGGGGATTTCAATTCTCCACCTGATCATTATACTGTGTGGAACTACGATACAAGGCCACATACCGAATGCCTCCAGCGGCCGACGGCATTACAAACAAAGAAAGTGGACGTGACTTGGCTGACTGACCTCGCAGGCCCGAGAGGTCGCCCGCCTTCTCCAGGCTGATCTGCGCCTCGAGGAAGAGCGCGTCGAAGCGGTTGAGGAAGAAGTCCCAGGTGAGGATGCGGCGGTCGCTTAGGCAGTTGTGCAGCTGGTACAGCGACTGCAGCACCATGGGCCGGTCCACGATCACCGAGTCGAACTGCGTCTCCAGGCACAGGATCAGCGACTGCGTATGAAACGATCTCTTACTGAGCGTACCTTCGCCATTACATCATACAGAATATCTCACAATAAATGTAACAAACTTCTCGGTTACGTAGAAGTTATAAGATGATCACTTTTTGCCAATTAAGACAAGATGAAAAATATCATATAAAGACATTGGACAATTTCCTAGTATATATTCAAAAAATGTTGATATTATACAGATTATTCGTAAACCTATTGTACGTTTTCACCTCGCAAAGAAACTGTCAGAGTGGAAGAAGACTCGAGTATCGTAAGTACTATTTATAATCAATTCGCTATTATGCCTGTTGCACACGGTGATACTTCCTAGAATTTTTTATAAAAAGATTCATTCAAGATAAATTTAATAAAATCTAGTTTTGACGCGGAAAAATTCGTGGTCGTACCAATATAGAAACCTTCTCCACCTTCGACCACAGTATGGTGTTGGACGAAACAATTTTACGAAAAAGCTGGCTGTGTTCAACATATCTATTTTACAAAACGTTCCGTAAAACGTTTCATCAAATTCGTCTTATAAAACATTATCTGTGCAACGGCATTAGTTCATTTATTTTGCTTTCTCGCTACCGCTTACTCTGTAGATAGAAAGTTATGTAATTCTGCGCGATAAACAGCGAATTTTCGGCAGAAAAACTCTCATTAAAGGGCTCTGAAACAAAAAAGTAGGTAAATTCAGTTGCTAAATTTATTTAAAAAATCTTCTAACACGTTGTGTAGCTACAATTCATGCCAAAATGCCGGTAACAATATGTCGTCCCATCCGTCTATCTGTGAACAACGCTAGCGGTTAAACCGGTCGGCCAATTTTCTCCAAAGTTGATATTTCCTAATCGATATGGCTAATATCACGGCCCCTTAAATATGAAACCGATATATTAATTTTGATGGGTACTTTACAAGACGCCAGTGGGACATTATGAAAATTTTGCGGAAAAGAAATGGCTGTATTGTTTTAGATTAAATGTTGTTGTTAGATAGTGTGAATAACGTTTAAGAGAATGGCGTAGGACTCATGTTCGTTGAAAACACTGATTTTTTGAAAATTGCAAAAATTCAAAGGTCATGTACAATTTTTGAAACTTTGAGTACTTTTCGCGTGAAAGTACAGGCAAGAAAGTACGTGCTGTTTTAGCACCACTTGTTTGGATTGCAATGGTACGTGCACGCACCTTCAAGGCGGTGACGAGGATGGTGCCTCGTTTTAGAAAAATCTGAACGCGTGCAACAGGCATTAGTTATCTGAACGCACCTTGCCGGTGGTGTCATGAATGGATACTCGCTTTATAATAAAAAACTGACCGTGAGCAACAGGTATTAATTATCTGAACGCATCTTGACGGCGATGTCGTGTAAGGGGCCTCACTTTACACTAAAAACCCTGACGGTGTGCAACACGCATTAGTTATCCGAACGCACCTTGACAACAGTACGTCGTACAATAAGAACCGACCTCGTGCAAGAGACCCGGACGCACCTTGTCGGCGTTGTCGTATAAGAAGCCTCACTTTAGGCTAAAAAACCTGACGGTGTGCAACAGGCATTAATTATCTGAACGCACCTTGACAGTGGTGTCATGAATGGAGCCTCGCTTTACACTAAAAAACCTGACGGTGTGCAACAGATATTAGCTATCTGAACGTACCTTGACGATGGTGTTGTGAATGGAGCCTCGCTTTCTACTAAATACCTGACGGTGTGCAATAGATATTAGTTTTCTGAACGCACCTTGACGATGGTGTCATGAAAGGATACTCGCTTGAAACCTGACGGTGTGCAACAATCATTAGCTATCTGAACGCACCTTGACAGTGGTGTCGTGAATGGAGCCTCGCTTTACACTAAAAACCCTGACGGTGTAAACAGACATTAGCTATCTGAACGTACCTTGACGATGGTGTTGTGAATGAAGCCTCGCTTTCTACTAAATACCTGACGGTGTGCAATAGATATTAGTTTTCTGAACGCCCCTTGACGATGGTGTCATGAAAGGATACTCGCTTAAAACCGGACGGTGTGCAACAGGCATTAGCTATCTGAACGCACCTTGACAGTGGTGTCGTGAATGGAGCCTCGCTTTACACTGAAAACCTTGACGGTGTGCAACAGGCATTAGTGGTCCGCACGCACCTTGATGGCGGTGTCGTGGATGGTGCCGAGGTAGAGCGTGGCGCGCTGGGCCACCTGCACGTTGGCGTCGTCCATGCTGGAGACGAGGTAGCAGAAGGCGTTGGCGAGTGCCGCCTGCAGCGCCGGGTGCGCGCGCAGCGGCGTGCGGTCCATGAAGCGCGCCACCACCGTCACGCGCTCCGCCGCCACGAAGCGCACGCGCCAGTCGCACGCGTGGAACTCCTCCTGGATGACGCTCCAGAACACGTCCGCGCCCGACGGCAGGTTCACGCAGTGCAGCAGCAGCGGCACCCCCGCCGCGCACAGCGCCGAGTGCTCCGCGTTGCACAGGTCCCACAGGCTGCGCACGCGCCAACAGGATCAAGCGCCCTCGCTGCGCAGGGGGCTACCAACTCATTTTTTAAAGGACGTACAAATTTAAAGCACTACGTCCTTTCTTACGCAGTCCCTCTAGCCGACGTATAAGTTTGTAAGTTTTTCTCCCCGTAGAGGCGGTTTATATTGTATCGTAGGCTTTCACGGTCGGAGTCAATAGAAGGTAGATTTTCCGGGCTGGTAGGCCGTGGTCCGGTTGGCATTGTTGGGCCAATAATGCCAACTAGACCACGGCCTACCAGCCCGGAAAATCTACCTTCTACTAAGTCCTTCCGTTTAGAAAGACACTTGGGCTTCTTACTCATCCACATGTCGTGATTGTTATTTTCATGGAACGCAGTGGGCTCCAGATGTATTCTCACTTATTCTTCATTTTTATTAGGTTATATATAGTTATAATGTTTTAATATCTATATATTTGAAACGTTAAGTGTTTTAAATATATAGACCAACCTGACGGATGGGTCAATGTAGAAGCTTTCTTGGCGCGTACTTAAGAGTCCCTGCTTGAAAAGGGGCCCCTTATTATTTGTTTAAACAAACAATTTTTATTAGGTCATAAATATTTAATTTTTCAAATATTCGTTTACTTAAGACACTAAGGGTTTTCGTTTATAAAGAAATTTGAGCTATTTACCCGACCAAATGTCATTGATGCTATAAAAGGAACCTAAAGAGGTCTAGAACCGTCATCCCTTGCTGTTATTAACAGGTATGTGAACATTCAGTTTCAATAAAATCGTGTGCCTTGGGTCTCCGCGATGCACTCACTCCAATAGTGGTGGGTCAATGCAGAAACAGGCTAGGGGCGTACTTAAGAGTTCCCGCTGAAGAAGGGGATCCCAATTAAATTTAGACATTTGTATTAGGTCATAAATATTTAAATATTTTAAATGTATATATTTAAAACCCATGAGTTCTCCTTTAAAAAGAAATTTGGGCTTTCTACTCAACCAAATCATGATTGTTGCTTTAAACGAAATCTAGAGGACCCCAGATGGGTCATCACTTCTATATTGATCGGTTTTGTATAATCAACCCCAATATTAACACAGTAGTAAAATTAATATAATAAACAGCTATCTGCCGTCATTTGTTGATTAAGTTCTTTCGTTGCGTCAAGAGTTTGTTCAGGGAGGTTTTGGTCGAGCGCGAACAAGGGTGTATGGGTGTCTCGTTAGTTTATTTAATCCAATTTCCAGTTTGTTTGAGTATTTAAAATAAAGTTAACTGTCTCTCGAAATATCATGCCCATATTTTTACATTGCATATATTTATAATTGGACAAATATTTAATCTCAAATCGCTTAAGTGTAAGAGCAGCTCACATTAAAGCGAGAAGCATTTGCGCACTTCTTTGCAAATCTTTGAGTTCTCCTACTATATGATGCAGAAAACTAAAAATAATTTACTGCTTGATGGTGAGGTTCTCTTGACACCAGATTAAAAAGCCTCGATGATCCTTGGCTGCTTTAGTGAGGGCATCTCCGTGCAAACAGATGAGGTTCAGGCAGCGTAGCATATGGTAAAGGATGTCTGGGTCTTGATTGTTGGGCAGTTCCTAAAACAGAATTTCAAGAATCCACGTTCTGGTAGGTAGTGGTGTAGATATTCTCTCTATTAGAAATCGAAATCTGTAGAGTAGTTTCATCATAATAATTAAATTTTGTAAGTAGCTTTTTCGGACATTATCAATGCCGCAGTAATACAGTGTAGTACATGGTATTACCAAAATTAAGTATTATATATATATAATACTTAATTATATATAATTAATTTAATATATATATATATAATTTACAACTCGACACCGTGTGACCGATCACCTTGAAAGTTGGAACATGTAAATGTTTTTTCACCCAGAAGGTGTATGAGCCGTTAATTTTGATGTAACTCCGCTAGATGGTGCTGCAGAACAAAATTGCGTTACATTTTAATTCTATTTTCATTAAAACTGCGCTCCACCTGGGCTTCATTGTTGCTGGGCTTCATTGGGCCGATCGTTGCTGTTTGACTTAGGGCGAGGCCGAGAAGGTCAGGACAGCGGCGCGCGTAAGAGAAAGAGACAGATATACAGACAGAGACAGAAAGAGACCGTGAGAGAGAGAGAGAGAGAGAGAGAGAGAGAGAGAAGATACAGAGACATAGAGATGCAAACAGAGAGGGACAAAGAGAGGCAGAACGAGATAGAGACAAAGAGAGATAGAGGGAGACAGAGAAACAAACAGACAGATAGAGACAGGCAGAAAGAGACAGAGCGATAGATAGAGATAGAGAGACAGAGGCAGAGACGCAGAGAGAGAATAAGAGACAGACAGACAGACTGACAGGGACAGAACATGTCAGGAATAAAGAGAGACAGACGGAGACACAGAGACAGATGGAGAGAGCCAGAGAGACACGGAGAGAGACATTGAGAAAGACATAGAAAGGCAGAGAGATAGAGAAAGGGGGTACAGAGTCTCAGAGATGGAGATAGACGGGGATAGGAACAGAGAGAAACAGATCACACACGGAGACAAAGTCAAACAGACTGAGAAAGGGACAGAGAGAGACGGAGAGAGAAACGAAGAGAGAGAAAGGAAGACGGAGAGAGAGGCAACTTTTAGAGAGACGAAGACAGAAATGGCGAGGGAAGAAGAGGCAGTTGAAGAGAAGAACAGCGTCAGCCGGATTGCGCTAGTATCACTTGTATTTGTTCTTTCTTTTTTTAATTTGTAATTTATACATATCTTTTTTATTTTAGCCCTTAAGACGGGCGTAATGCTGCCGATAAAGCTTTATACAAAATTAAAGTATTATGATGCAACCACATCAGATATTTCAATATCGAGTCCACGTTAAAAATGAACTAAAATATTCGTATGAGAGATTGAATCAGTAACGAGTTAAGCCACACTTGCCGCAGCAACCCCCCCGCTATTCGAAAACACATCCTGCGGCTTACCTTCTCATTGCCCCAGGCTTTTCAATTACTCCGCCGTTCTCGGCCAGTAAGAAAGTAACGAATAAATGGGCACTAAAGCGAACGTGCCGATCCGGTGGCCGAGATCGCTAAGGCAGCAGTGCCGTAGCGACCTCGTACCGAAAGATCGCGGGTTCGAGTCATGATTGTATTGTGTTCGTCCTTTCACCCCCCTATCATCATCATCACCATCATCATCATCATATCATTGAAGGCAACGGGAAACCACCCTGAATAATTTACCCCAAGAAAATCCGTTATGGGTCACCTAACTTCCGTATATGGAAGACAGGAGCAAAGAAGAAAGCGAAGGCGCGCCGCTGCGCGAAGGTCTTGCCTTGAGCAGCTGGTGGATGAGCTGCAGGTGGTGTGGCAGCTCCTGCAGCGTGAAGCGGAACTTGCCCTCGCTCGTGTGCCAGAAGTCGTCGAGGTCGTCGTCAAGGGCGCCGTCGATGGGCTCGTCGTTTTCGCCCACCAGCGTCGCCTTGGCCACCTGCACTTTGGCCGTCGCTGCAACCCCAACGCGCGCTTCCCATGCAGCCGCCGGCCACCGCAGCCGCGCGCGAGCTGCACTACAACACTTCTACGACTACGTTTCCTACAAACGAATGTGGTTTTCTAAACAGACATGGAACTCTAGAAAAGGAAAGAAACTAAGAGAAAATTGCCTTTCGTAAGAATCGGCTCTTACCCCTTGTGCACACCCGAATGTGTTTTTCTAAGCAGTCATCGAATTCCAGACAAGGATAAAACAGAAAATTGCCTTTCATAAGAAACATCGGCTCTCACCCCTGGTCGTGCTCCTAGTGCACACCCGAATGTGTTTGTCTAAGCAGTCATCGAATTCCAGACAAGGATAAAACAGAAAATTGCCTTTCGTAAGAAACATCGGCTCTTATGCCTTACCGTGTTCCTAGTGAACACCAGATCGACTCAGTTCTGCGAAGTCATGGATAACAACACGAATTCGCGGGTGCAATGGCGTCGCTAATACTTTTAAGGTAAACTTGCTGCTTCGCTGTGCTTGTTCAATTTGGATACGAGGCACCGCTCTTCGCGATTTACATAAAGCATCCTAGAGTTTGCATAATTTCCCACGCATTTTATGCTAAAATGCTCTCACGCCGAATTCGTTAGTTTGTTTACGCCACAAAAACGGCAAAACTTCTGCACACCCGAACAAACGTTTAGCGTACTTCCTTTCTTAGCGAACAAACCTGCGTTATTGCAAAAACAAATCCAGTTTTTTTCCTCACTGAAACAAAATGTCGCACAACCGTATGAAATTCAAAGGTTCCAATGCCAATATGTTCATGGTTCAATCATGCACATTTGAACCACGGAACAGAATGCACTTTTTCCCACCTGTATATTTCTTCTTCTTTCACTTGTTTCTCCGGGCTCCTGAAGTCAATGCGTGGGTGGAGCAAGCTTAAGGGCCAATCATCTCCCCTTATGATATCCGATGCTCACTTGAAACTTTCAGGTGATGCAAGCACATACTTCGTTCAAAGCCTTACCTAAAATCGGCCACGCACACGTAGTATGCCATGTGATGCTGCTTGCAGGAGGGGTAGAACGACCTTTAGTAAAAGGATCCTTTTACGAATACACATATCTCCTGAGAAAGCGTGAGTTATTACACACTTGGGTTCAAAGAAATATCACATCCATCATGTCACGAGCTCTCAAAAAACATCAGCCAATTATCGTCCAAACTTATCTTGCGCGCAATGTAAGACAACGATCTTCTACGTCTTCTTAATTACGATGACACGAAAGTATTGCAAGAGAATTCGTTTCGTTATCTTTAAAAAATGTAAAGACTGCCGTGTCGTAGGTCTGTTTTGAATGGGCAAAGAGCTAATTTCTCTGCGTCGTGTAATATATTTATTGAGCCTCATGTTTTTTTAGCGCTTATGGTCAAAAGTGTTGATCCGCGTTTTTCTTAGCTAACTTGGCAATAGCATATGGCGCGTTATTAATGTCTCAAAGCTCAATAATCCCCTAAAGTACACCACCCTAATCCGAGCCTGCGTAAGAGGTATACAGAGAAGGGTATTTGGTTGTTGTTTTTGTTATTTTTTAAGGTAAACTTCCACGATTGCTTGAGGTTCAATTCGGCGACATATTTTAAATAATGTTTTATATTTCTGTAACATACCAGTAATCATCTTAAAACAATGCGATAAAAGAGTATCAGTAGTCGGATCTATAGACTGCAGTAAGAAATGCATTAATTTCGGTTAAAAATGGCGTCCATCATCCCGGCCGAGAAGGTGGTGACCGGTGAAGGAGCTGAGCACTGTAAATTGCTGTCGCCTGTCACCTGTCAACTTAGGCAACCTGTTTGACGTGGACGCGTTTAAGCTTTCGTGTTGCAGCGACCCCTGCAGTCATGAAAGCTAGGAGGAGATGAACCAGAAGAAGAAGGATGAGAAGAATAAGAAAAGATGAGGAAAGAGAAGAAGAAGACGGAGAAGGAGGAGAGGAAAGAGGAGGAATAAAGAGAAGATGGAGAAGAAACTAGAAGGTTAAAAGAAAAAGATGAAAGAGAAGAAGAAAAAGAGAATGAAGAAGAGAAAAAAATAGAATAAAGAAGAAGAGAAAAGAAAAAGAATATATAGAAGAAATGATAAAGATTATAAAGAGTAGAGAAAGAAGAAAGAGGAGAAGGAGGAGAAGGGGGAAGGGGTCGGAAATGAGAAGAAGAAGAAGAAGAAGAAGAAGAAGAAGAAGAAGAAGAAGAAGAAGAAGTGGATAACGAATGAACAAAATGTTTCAACGAAGGGTGAGGAGAAAGATATATCTTGTGCACCTCCCCGATTTCCCGAGCAATGTCTTCCCGGCCCAAATGCACATCAGCACGTTGCATTCAGCGGTAACCCTCTGGCTTTCACACTACGAGGAGATTGAAGAAAGAAGGACGAAAAGTAGAAAAGAGGGAAGGAAAGAAAGAAAGAAAGAAAGAAGGAAATAAGGAGAGAAGGAAAGAACGAAAAAAAGAAACATGGAAGGAATCTCAATGATTTCGAAGGTAAATTCTTGTTAATTGTTCTTTTCAATATTATATCTTTCCGAGAATTTACTCGTATTCTGGCTTGAGGACATTCATATTGAGAAACCTGCAACGAGCAACGTCATTTTCAGGCATCGTAACACTGTAATAGAACTTAAACGAAAAGTCTGCCGAGGGTGGAAATAGCTTCAATTTATGCTGCGTTGAACACTCTTCAAGTATGCCTCCTTTAAAACTAAAAAAGGAATAAAATAGTAACGGGAAAACGAGTAGCTCCAAAATCATAGGTTAATATTTGCGGACACAATGTGCATAACTGCTTTATCCCCTTTTCCATGCGTCGGGCATTGAAAATTATCCCACCCCGCTGGCCAAACATCTCCGCAACTGGCTGGACCCATTCTTTCTACCAAACGAGCTGTGTCGCCCGCGATCCGTCCCGACGCAGCTGAGGGCGGCGTGGCGGTGTGGCAGGGCGTGGCAGGGCGGGGCGAGGGCGGACAGGCGGACAGGGCACGTACCGACGTCGGTGTCAGTGAGGGTGACTGCCCGCGCCACCGCGGCCACCACCTTCTCGGCCGGGATGATGGGCGCCAGGTCGAGCTGCTCCGTCACCGTCTCCACGGTGGCCGTCATGATCTGCAGGACAACACTCCGCGCATCAACACCTCCGCACCACTTCTGCGTTCACAGAAAAGAACACACATGCCTCTCTAGCATTCAGCTACCAAGACACTCGCAAACAGCAAGCAACACTACCGGTCAGGTCATACGCATGCTCCTAGGTAGCAGCACTTGCTCGCAGCGCGCTCCCAACGTTCAAAGCGGCTGCTTCTGGCGACAATCAAACTGTGGACATGACCCTCTGCCTCACAGAGCCTGGTTAGTTTGCTCAATTGACCATCTTTCGACTTCTGCTTCTGGGTTAATAAATTGCTCACTTATATAAAGTGAAATTCAGAACTGCAGAAGTTACAAGAAAATATTTTTAAAATCAATCAAGAAATAAGTTTGAAAAACTGAATGCATAAGACTTCATTATTATAATATAAAAAATTGTTTGAAATTATGATTTGTAAATAAATTGATCATGTTACATCACATTGTGTAATTAAATGTTTGATGTTGACTTGTTTTAATATCAATAAATAATTTGAATAGTAGGTTACCCATATGAAAATCAATTAAATATCAAAATGCAATTAAAACATTATCATAAAAAATTTGTAATATCTGTACTTATGACTTATGGGATAGGAGAGAAGGAAAACCTTTGCACATATCTAAAGGTTCACCATTGCTACCCCACTTTTACTATGTGTAATTGAATGAATAGTTGAATTATGAGTAAAGATTCCAATCAGTAGATGGCAACATTTGAAAACAAGAAAGTTTTGCTTTGTAATGGAGAACGCAATGGCAAACAAACTACAGATTTGGTTTTATAGTATTGCTGACAAAATAACACTCTCCTGCGCTAATCCTCTCATGACCAACAGAATGGGAGCTCAGCAAAACACTAAGCTATATTTTTTTGTTCCAAAGCAAAGCAGTGTCCATCACAGATTTTTCTCAATGGAGTAAGAGAAACTGGGTGATAAGTTTGATTGTGACAGGTGAAAAAATACTGAATTTGGGAACCACTAGGTTAAACCAAGTATAAGGAGAGTGCATCACAGATAGTCTTCAGTAATGTGAACATTATTTTAACTAATAAACCTACGTTAGACAGTTTGAACCTCAGGGAGGAGCAGAGAAGGAATGTCAAGAGAACAGATATTTAATGTATAATTCAAAATACTCAATGTCTCAGCCTGAAGTCATCATCATAACTCTTAAATTGTTTGTAACTACCACAAGATTTTAACATCTGTGGTGATCTGCAGTGATAGGCTACATAAGTAACATTCTGTTACGTGCACATCCTCAAGTATAGCAACATTTTGGCATCATTACTTTCTACATTCTGATTTGTGATAAAAGTATACTTCAGTGCATTGTATAATGCACCTTCATCAGTTTATTTCATAATTGATTAGTGCAGAAAAAAGAAGGGATTTTGAAAAATTAATTACTAATCATAAAAGCAAATGGTAATTTCTATTTAATTACAAGTGCTGACTCCTAAGAACATCTTAAACATACAAAAAATGTTATAATAATATCTACTCCAAAGCAAAGATCATAAATGCATCACTATTCAATAAATAACACCTGCAACTACATTAAATTCTGTTCTTCAAAAATTGTTTCAGTCAGTATGCAGAAGCCAAATATTATTGCTGCAATAGTGAATGACTACTCCATTTCAAAGGGAACCAAAAGCTGCTGAGAAGCCCTCTAGAGTACCAAATATAAATAAATTTAAGAGATGAACATAATCAAAATACCACATGATGCTCGCTGAACTCTTCTGGAGATGTACTATTCCATAACCAGGTATAGTAGCAATGTTTCATGACAATAATATGTTCACAAGAGAAATAATTGTATAAAAATACAATAACTTCACAGGAGCATTATAAAATAAAAAAAATATTACACGATTTATGAATAAACAATCAGAAAATTCTCACCTATTTCAAGAAAAACAGTAAAAGTTATTTGTTTTCTATTGCATTTTAAAACTTCATAAATAATATGTAATTGATTTCATATACTTTTGCATTATTTTACACAAAGCCACATACTGAAAAATATATAGCCTACTTCTTAAGAATAGTTTTAAAATAAAGTTTTTTAGAATTAAAAATGTTAACACTATAATATTGTTCACTGCATCTTCTTTCCAACAATTAAAAAAATATTAACTAATGAAATAAATAAAAAATTAAACAACTAAAATCCATAGATTCAATGAAAATTGGGACAAATTTCTTCTGAGATAGTTAATAAATATTAATTGAATGTATGTATGCTTTAAAGAGATTAAAATTAAACTTAAACTTCAAACAAAACTTGTTTTCATCACTAATGATTTCTTTTTCAATTCCTTTTGTATCATTTATGACAAAGTCTTGTTTCCTCTTAAAAAAGACACAAGCACTCAATAATGTTCTTGGAAGAAAGAAGAAATCAGTAAGAAATTTTTCATGGAAAATATAAATGTTGATATGGCATAGGTCTTAGATAAAAAGTAAAATTCCTCTTCTTACCTAGTCCCTTAAAACACACACTTTTTTCAAATCCATTTCAAATCATATTCAATTGCAACTACAGTGGGTACTAACCCAATAACAAAGAAAAAGTGTTCAGTATTTACTGCATTATGAGGAAAAAATTTAATTTCCTGCATAATCTTAGTATTTTTGCATTCTCATGTAAATACAATATCCGTTAAATCGACACCATGGCAGAGCAAGCATAAAAATTGTTCATATCCATTAGGATGATTTATACTTAAAAATAATTTCTCTAATAGGACTTTTACAGAGAACAATTATAGACATTATTATTTTGTATTTTTTCTAGCAGAAAGCATGAACACATTTTCTTAAACATTTATTCAAAAAGCTTCTTCTACAAGCCTATTTGTAATGAATAGATTGTATCTAAAACTGATTTTTCACAACAACTATACAAACAGACTCAATAACTACTCATATTCAACATCTTAGTGAAGTGTGAATCAAGAGTGAATTTCATCAGAACACTGAATCATTTAGCAAGTGCAAATAGTCATTTGACTAGTATATGTGATTAAGATATAAATATGTAGTAATAGTAAAGCTTATGGCAAATGTTTGTAACTAATAATTAATTTCTCCTAAATGTGGAATAATATTTCTTTAAATAATGTATTGCTGTTTTATTGCAAGAAATCAGCAACTTAATCAACTACAAGTATACAACATTTACTTCTGGCTCTGCAATTTCATGAAAAAATCATTGGGTTTCAACACTCCATTCTCTGTGGAAGTATGTGAAAAGCATGATTGAAATCACATTATAGTCCTAATTAGATGGAATTTCACTGCAGAGCTACTGTCAATTACAGGTACATTTAACATAGATTTACATGTGTGACTTTTTGCTTTAAAAATTTTGTTTGTAACTAAATTAGATACTATACTGATTTTCAATTTCAAAGAAATATAGTAAATATGATTAGAGTGGATTTCATCCAAGAACTTACTAGTGCAAAACTGAACAATAATATAAAGTCCTCAATTTCCATTTTTAAATGCTATGTTTACCTCACTCCTGTGCAACTTAATATGTTGCTAGATAATTCACTCCAAAAATATATTAAAAGCATTATTTCAAACAATTTCTATTACATTCCTTAATAAAATACGTTTTCTTGATACAAAATAAAGTGCTTTTAAATTACAACAAAAATATAAGATTTTATTAAATATCAAATAGCACTACTGTCACATATTATCTGGGGAATTACTACACAACATGTGGTTTTCAACTGCAAGACAAAATGAACATGCATGATGAAACATGTCTGTAGGTGTGCACTACAATAATATTCTTGTTTTGTTTTGGTATTTTTATTTCTGTGCAAGATTTGACAAGGGAACATGCTGATATCGAAGTACATATTTATGTAGAAGTTCCTGCTACTTATCCATTCCTGGTAGTCAAATACAATACTTTGAAAACAGACCTACCTTGTGATTATTGAAATAAGATGATTTTTTAAATGTTGACTACTATCCCTTCAAGAAGAATATAGGAAAAGAAGCAAATTTTATTAATACAGAACCATATCTTCAATGCTAATGAAGATTTACTTAGGTGTTCTGATGATGATGTTAATGAGGTATGACAGTCACTACTATGTAGTTAATGAAAGTTAATTTAATGTTGATATCTTATGACTGTGTACAACATTCATCAACATGCAACCGACATTATCAAACATTAAAGAATGTACAAGAAATACACTTTACAAAACATTGTTCTTCTATAGAAATACTCAGCACATTTACATTCCTATGTACCTATACACAAAAAGGGATTACAATTATGAATAATACAAATAATTACTCCTAAGTAATGTTAAATGAACTACTCTAAAATAGTACTAATCACTAATACACAACACAAATTAAAGGTAATTTGGTTGCTTCTTTTAATTACAAGGGCAAAGTGGAAAAAACACCTGAATCTCGTCATCTCATTTTAACAAAAACGATAGATGCCCATAATTTATCACGAGGTGGTTTGGGTAATTATAACATTGCATAAAAGAGTTGGTAGCATTTGTATCCATGATTTCAAGTCCATAATTAAAGTTTGGTGAACCCTGGAGCAGTCACATTTATTTTTGGAATATCAGAGGGAGCACATTTGACTTAATCAATTATTTAGATTTGTTAATTTATTTCTTAAATCAAGTGTAATTAAAAAAAGCACAACTATTTTATTTGCTTATCGCAGAAAGGATCATGTAAAATTAGTGTAACAAGTACTATTGGGTCATTTGTCAAAGTAGTCACTTTCAGTGCATGTTATTCAAAGAGAAAGTAATGATTTCATTTTACCTCACGTTTTTCTCCCCATTTTACTCTATTATAAAATCTTCATCTTGAACTAAAACAAATTTTCTAAAATTTAAATTTGTCAATTCAGCAATTAATACATTTTAAAAATCCAAAGAAATTATATTAATTGATACAGGACCACTTTATTCTTTAAAAAATGATTAAAAATTTGTAATATTAGTG